TGAGTCTGGCGCCTTAGACCGCTCGGCCATCCTGACATATGAATGTTAGGTGGTTCATTGATTACGCACAGTTGCAAATTCATTAACCGTTGATATTCGATGACATAACTACAATGAGATAGCTAATAGAAACATACTGATTTTGTGGTGGCATCGGGTTTAAATTCTTTAATTGTAAACCATATATGAAAATGCCACGACTGCATACAAATTGATATTTTTGAAATGATTATAAATCAAATGGAGTGCAATACTCTTCATACACATTTTGTCTTTTAATTTGAATTCAATTTGAATTTAATTTGAAAACAATATTTTAATTACTAAAGATTTATTTAGCTAAATGAGTCTTGTGTTGTTTTTAACTAAAAGAGAACGCCGGCAGAAAAGTTCCCATCAAATGTTAATGCTTCGTGAATTTCTACCTAGAAAAAAACTCAGTATGTTTACCTACTGAAAACCTAAATTGTTCTTTTTACCTAATGCAAATAAGCAGGCAAAATTTAAAAATAATATACAAAAATCTAATGAAGCACTTTTTCGAACGAATAAAAAAATAGTGGTGAAATTGTTATAAAAAAAGAAAAATTGAATTAGCAAAAAACATATTGGCAACGGCGAGATTCGAACTCGCGCCTCCGAGGAGACTGGTGCCTAAAACCAGCGCCTTAGACCGCTCGGCCACGTTACCCCGTGCTTGTTGCGGTACTCAGAACTATGAAGAGAAGATCATTTTTGCATTTTATACGTATTTGGCACGAATGATTAAAAAGTTAACAGAGTAAATCAACACATTTTCGATAGCAACAAGATAAGGGATACAATATCGACATGCATTCCTATAATGTATTTTAATCATCAATTACCATAACCAATTTTCACACAGTTTTCAACTCTCAAAACATATGTTCAATCTTGTAAACAAAATACACCCATTATTTTCGTAATTATAATTAAATTTTTAGCAAAATTGTTCGCTTTTAATAGCAGCTTTTATTTCTTAACAAAATACAATTTTGATGAGTGAAAATGTTGAAACGAAACTTCATCATGTTCATATTTTGTGGAATTTTTATTGCGAGCATATTGAAAGCAGCACCGAATAAAAACCAGGATGGATGTAATTTTCTTAGTATTTTCTCCAAATTGAAAAAAAGGAGAAAGCATTGATGGTTTTTCAAGCAAAAGACAAAAATTGTGATAAAAATTATACCCAAATTAAGGTACAAAGAATCAGTAGATTTTATGGAGGAATTTTATATGAAATTTTATATCGAATACGTTTATTTTTCATAAATTAATAGTTTTGATTTAAAAATGATGGAATTCGATAGGTACAGCTGGGAAGGAAAGGATGATAGGAATTTCAAGACCTATATGGTTGGCGGAACTATTACATGGAATGTCTGTCGCCTGTTTTAAAGAAGGATCAAAAGAGATTATTGGTTTAAGCATACTATATGTAAGTGAGAAGATTGGATTTAATAATGAAAAAATTATATGAAATGATTTTTTGATTTGAAGAAAAAAATCAAGCTTCCTTGGAATCCGAGTTCTCAATTGACTTATGGATTTAATGTGTTTCAACATTACGGAGTTAGTGAATACTCAAGAGGCAATGGTATGGCAACGGATTATCGGGCAAGCGGAGTTGGGAAGAAGCTTGTTGAGTGTCGAGAGGTAGTTCGGCACATCGAGTGCATTTACCTCCAAATATTCAATTAAAATAGCTGATGATTGCGGATTTGAGGAAAATATAAACAAAGGGTAATACAAGCCAATTTTTTAATATGGTTTATTAGAATCTTTTTGATCATTTTCAGTTCTTCTCATGGTGGTTATAAACATTTCTCAATTTTGAAATCGAAGCGGTATAATTTCACGTTCAATACAAGACTATACATTTTATCGGTGCATTTGGAATATTTTTCAAACTTAATATATGTCTTTTTAGCTTGACTTACATTCTTACTTTGCTCATTTTTTACATATTTCAGTAGAATCATTTCAAAAAATACAGCAAAATGTTTCATTTATGATAAATAATATAAAACCCAGAGAACAGCTTTCCTAGATCTGAAAATTGCTTACGAAAAAGAATTTGTGCGACTTAAACTTTAATTCGTAATGTCATTTTTTAAAAAAATACCATTTTTATCTATAAAAACGAAAGAAGTGTGATAACAATCGATTTTTACTTTCATAAATATTTATTTCGTCTAATTCACTTAAATATAGCGATGAACATGGATATCACGTTTACATCATCTTTTTTGCTCAAGCAATTAGATTTTCTTTCAACATGTTAATGAATTGTTTTGATATAAGTAATATTACTGCATCGACAATTGTATCGTTGTTCCATACAAAAGTTTAAATCTCAAGGTCGTTCTGTTTCTTATTTGCATTCACCTTATCAGAACCCATATAAACGTGTTTATATCACCGTGTGTGCATATGATATATCATATCATTATATTTAAGATGTATATGTGTATTGTGTATTTTTAGAAATGGATTGCTTTTTCATGGTTCTGAGTACTCAAACAAGCACGGGGTAACGTGGCCGAGCGGTCTAAGGCGCTGGTTTAAGGCACCAGTCTCTTCGGAGGCGCGAGTTCGAATCTCGCCGTTGCCAATATATTTTTTCAAAAAAAAAAAACTCTTTATTTTTTTACCCAATTTCATTGCATTTTTTTTTCTTTTTAAATTAAAATTAATACAAATTAAGTACAATGGTTAATGATTTTTCGATTGTGACAGAGGTCAAACAGAATTCATTTCACAGAGAAAAATTTGTGAAATTTTGTTTTGGAATGTATTACATGAAATTCGCTATATTTTTATCAATTAAATTAAATTAAATTATAGGAAATTATTTCTAAATTGGTAGTAAATAAGTCTAGTTATCTTTGTTGCTGATTGTGAACTCTTTTTCGTTGTTGTTCGTTATCACTGTTGGTTTTTTCTTATCAAATATATATTTCTTGATGTTTTGGAAGGGCGTATCAAACAGCAAAGTAAGGATAACAGATACCGCAATTATGAATAATATTTCATAGATGTTGCCCTATTTCGAATGACAAAAAGATCGAAAAGTTAAAGTGATGCCACAATAATAAAAGTTAAAAATTTAAAAATTACATTTGTTGTGATAAAATTATAGAATCCCGAGTGTTTGGTTGTGCCAACATTGTAAAAGAATATTGGAAACTGTGTCAAATATATGGCATACGCGAGACGTGTTGTAACCAAGAACAGTCGACAAGACAGAATTTCGCTAATAAAAGCTGAAACGGAGGATTAGGAAAATTTTTAAATATCACATTTCGAAAAATGAATAATATGAAAACCGTGATTACATGAATATCCAATGTGGGTGGTGAAAATGATCCATGCAAAAATGGTGCACCACGACATAGGACTGAATGCAGCATAAAAGGCGGCATCGTACGGATTGTATTTGTAGTTCATATTCCCCATTTTGGCCGGTCCAATCAATACAATCGACAACATCAAAATGCTTATCGACCATCCATAAATTAATTGACTCTAAAGAATACAAAACCATTTGAAATAAAAAAAACCATTTAAAACGTCATCATTTCAATCACTTACCTTGGATAGTTTAACATGTTTATACATTCGCATTGCATAGCCTACGAAAATGCCAAAAATATAAATGGTGGCTCTATGAAGAGGCATACTATACATCAAATCGGCCGTTCGGAATAGTTGCTTTATACTGAAACCATACATAATATTCCTTTAAAAAATCATCTCTGGTAATTCAAGTGAATAACTTACGATGCACCGAAGTATACATAATTCGAAAGTTGATGTGCAATGGTCACATAAAATCTGGCACCAGTGCTGAACACAGCCACAGAAAGTAGACCGATTGATCCCATTTTTGGCCATTTCCACAAAATCAAAATTAAAATCGGCGACAATACAAAGAGTTGCGTATCAATTCCAAGATGATGTGTATGAGTTAAACACTTTGAACACAAAAGCATAAAAATGATTAAAAAGTTGTCAACGCTTGAGAATAAAATTCATTACCATTTTCCCGAATCCAAAGTAATTGTGTACGAAAAGGAAATTTTTCCACCAATTTTCTTTGCAAATGTCAGCATGTTGTTCGACCACCAAATTCCACTGTGGCCCAGCTCCAAGTTCTGGCAGAATGAATGTGCAGAACAAAATAAGAGCACCAAGTGTCGGAACAATACGGAGAAAACGACTGAAGTACTCTTGTCCGATGCGCGGTGATTGATTATTTTTCAAACGACCAATGATTGCGTACGATGTCAACAAGCCACTCAACATTATAAAAGCATCTGTATAAATGGCTGCCGCTCTTGCAATCACCGATATGTATTCACCAATTTGCTAGAAAAGGTTAAAAGTCTCCGATTTATTAAGGAAATTGAACAATGAACAAGATACGTACCTCTATCATTTGTGTTTGATTCGTGTGCGGATTGTAGAAGACTGCCATTGATTTATGCGAGATTAAAAGTAGTCCAGCATTAATGAATCGTATGCCATGAATGGTGCTCACATCACTTGGACTTCGATCCAAACTGAACAATGCTTTTGAATTTTTCCACAAAGAAAACGACACCAGCAACTCATCTAATGAAAAAAAGAAGAGATTATTTTGACACCAATTTAAGTCAACATATCGAGTATGAACAGTGAAACTAATATGGTAACATTTCTACTTGGATTGGAGTGTAAGAGATCGATTATGGTTGATGCTGCGGCTATCGCCAATATCGATGCAAAGAAAATGCTGAAAAAATGTAAAGAGAAAAATATTGAAGATGATGGAATGTATTTTTTGAGATCTAACTTACATGGTGAGTTTAGTGTTTTGACTCCAATTCCGTTCTTTCTTAATTTGACACATTTTATTCTCGACACGAAGTTGATACTCAATCGATGTACCACTCACAAATTCCTTCAAATATTCATTTAACGAGTGCTGAACGTCAAGGTTGGTACATGTTGACGGAACACATAAAGCGTAATTGATGATTGAGAGACGCGGCACACGGTGACCAGGCTGAATAATCAAATATTTTTCGATTAACGCTTCAATAAAAATTACATTTTTGGTTTTTTTTATAAACTTATGTCCGTTTCGCAAGCATAAAAATCTTTTTTGTTAAATAGATTTATTTAAAAAAAAAAACAATGATTTAAAAGTCTGTTTAATGAAATGAGAAAAAATTTGAAAAAAAAAAAAAAATTTGTCAGAAGGGAGATTCGAACTCCCGCCCAC